AGTTTTAAAGTGTCTCAGTAAATGTGATCTGGGTCAGCAGTAGACAGTTACAACAATCTTAATAATCCAGAGTGACGCTGAAATTGAATCATTTAAACTGTTGTTAACAACTGTAATTTAGGCCTAACAGACACCATTGTTTCCCCAGTTGTCCATGAACAACCAACCAAATAAGAAGGCCATGTGGATTGACTGTGGGATCCACGCTCGAGAGTGGATCTCCCCTGCCTTCTGCTTGTGGTTTGTGCAATATGTGAGTACATTGTAAAAGTACTGTGAACTGTTGTTCTTTTTTGTTCAATCGTTTCATCAATACGTTTGTTTTTTTTGTTCTTCTTTACACGAGAACATACTCCTGGAATAAACAAAGCCTTTGTGTTTTTACTATAGTCTTTGTCCTTTTACAAACGAAACCATGATATTACAACCATCCTGGACAATATGGACGTCTACGTTCTTCCTGTGATGAACCCTGATGGATACCACTACACGTGGACAAATGTAAGAAGACACAAAACCACTACTGTTAAAGTAGGTGCCTCGCCCCTTTGTTTGACTCCACTCACTCCATTCTTAATGGTTTTCAGAACAGGATGTGGAGGAAGAACCGATCAGCCAGCAGCGGGAGCAGTTGCATCGGCGTTGACCTCAACAGAAACTTTGACGCCAACTGGTGCAGTAGGTCCCGCTCTGATTCCCCACAACGCAAAATTTCAGAAATGTTGGTTTCCTGTCCATTAATTCATAACTTCTGTGTAGACACAAACATACAGAGGGAACTGTGGCTGAGTTGGAGTTCATGGTGGTTAGCTGTTGTCAGCACTAGCCTACTCTTGTGTGACTTACTGGTGCTAAACCATGGTTGATGCACATGATAACATTTAACAGAATGGTTTAATAGGATACAATTAATTATAAGCCTTTTCCACTTAATGTTTCAGCAATTTAACATTAGAAAAAAGAAAAGAAAAACATAGTAATCATTTTGAACAACAGGAAGCTATTTAGAAATCAATTCACTATAGCTTCTCTGCTGGCTCTTTTTGTCTACCTTTGGAGGAGCTAAAAAATTGGCCTGGGCCTGATGACTGAGTTAAATGCATTTGACAAGTTGTAGTCCCAAACATGCTCACCACTTTATTTTTTGTACTATGATCCAAAAACATACTATGAAGTATGTTATATAAATGTGTCCAATGAATGTACTGTTAATGTACTAATGGCTATTCAAGCAGATAACTTGAATAGCCTTTTAAAATACTTTTTAAAATACTCCTTTAAAATGTACTGGATTACATTAGTGAACACCAATACATCCTGTAAAGGATATACAGGAGGTAGCTGTTTGTTACATATCTCGACACCCCACCTGAATCCACTCTCTCGAAAAAGTATGAAAACATTGACATACATGTTCTTCACAGCCGAGGGAGCTTCTAATGACCCGTGCAGCGAGATCTACTGCGGTGCCTTCCCGGAGTCTGAGCCAGAGTCGGCCGCCGTTGCCAACTTCCTGCGCAATCACAGGGACTCAATTCAGCTCTACTTCAGCATCCACTCCTACTCTCAGATGCTACTTTTCCCATTCTCCTGCACCATGGATGAAGCACAGAATCATGCTGATCTAGTCAGTGGTTGATACACATATATATATAAATACAGTAAATATAACAATAATTTTACAAACACAAAGTATCTGATTTATTGGTAATTATTCCTTGTCAATGTTCTTGTTTTCTAAGCTGGAAATGGCCAAAGAAGCATCTCAGAAAATCCAAAGATATTATAGGAATCACTATAAATATGGCTCTGGATCAAAAACAATATGTGAGTAATGTTTGTTTGTTTGGTTTTCTTTCTTTTTTTTTGTTAAGACTTGTGTGGTTCAGTTATTCCGGAGGATTTTAACCTGCATCTTCTTCTCTTCAGATTTGGCTCCTGGTGGTTCTGATGACTGGGCTTACAACACTGGCATTAAATACTCTTTTACTTTTGAACTTCAGGACCGAGGGCGCTACGGTTTTCTCCTGCCACCAAACTACATTTCCAAGGCCTGTAATGAGGCTCTGATTGCAGTGAAGACCATTGCTCTCAGGGTCATTGAGAAAACACATTCATTTGTTGGAACTGCCTAAGTTCCATGTCATAATTACTCTAATCACAGAAACTATATTTTAGGTTGATTTTGACATGATTCTATAAAAACTCTTTAAATGCTCAATTTTAATGTAATATTTTAATCCCAAACTGATTGAGTCTTACTGTCCATAAACTGCTGTGTTTTCAATAAGTTTTAAAATATTATGTTTTCTCTTTTTAGGGACATTTCTGTACAATAAACTATGGCTCGGGGGCCGAATGCAGCCCACTTGGCTTTTTAATCTGGCCGCCAAACATAATCCAAATTATGTTATTAATTTATATTATTTATATTATACTTCTGCCTTTTCCCTGCAATGCCCACATTTCCCCCGAAGATTGTATAGAAAAGTCTAAAAGCATTTTTGCAGTTTAGCCTTTATGCATGACTTTTACATGTAATTCATCTTAGTTTATCCAAATGCTCCATTTATCTGCTCCTGACCTGGCCCCCCTGTCAAATTTTAGGATGCATTTTTTGTCCGCAAGTCAAAACGTTTGCCCACGCCCGGAATAACTGGTCAACTAAATCATATTGGATGCAAACAAGTGAAGTAAAGTTTTATCTTTCTTTTTTTCTTTCTTTATCTTTCTTTTGTTTTATATAACCCTAACTTTCTGGGGGCAACTTTTAGTGTAATTATTCTATGGAAACTGTTAATCAGTGATAATACCATGCACTTCTGAAGGACATCTCTTCCCTTTTTTTTCAGTAACAAATAGTTCAGGCTGAGCACTTGTATGAAATTGATTCTTGTTATTCAAATGGGTATACACTGTATACACTGTCAACGTCTTTTGTTTAAATAATAATAACCAAGGGCTGGTTTGTGTTCTTCTACGTGAAAATTTAGCACACATCATCACTTGTTAGATTTTGGCCAATTTGATACACTGTAACTTTATCATAGAAAGTCAACCGTTAGTTTCTTCGTTTTATGAATATCTGGTATAAATACAATGACTCCTTCCTTCCAAGCGGGTCTTTATTTCTCCCTTTGCTTCAATGGTACGTTCTGGGAGCGCGACACACATTGATGTTCCGTCAGTGACAATACCGTAAAATGACCGAAGGAGGGCAGCAATGACGTTGGGTCTTATCTGCTACTCTGAGCAGCAGTAGAAGAAGGCGTGAATGACGCGCTGCCTCCGCCACCATGAACGCAGCCGGGACACCCTCTGCTGTTCATTTCAGACAATAAGCATTGTTTTTGCAACAAGTGCTTGAATCCTTGCATTGGGCAACAGTAGATGCGACACCGAATCGCTATTCCGGGTAAGTGTGAGCCTTTCCCCCCCTCAGTGTGGCCATGAGAGCTGCAGCTAGCCGTGGCGCCCAGGCCCCGCGCTACGAGCTAACATGAACTCATTAGCCCTTTGGTTAGCAACGAGCTCTCAAGAAATGTAGTATAAATAGATACCGTTAGCCCCGAGACAGTAAATTATGTTAATCCTAAATTTGTAAGTACAGGTAAGTAAACACGTCAGTTCCAACGTCGTGCTATGCTACTAACCCAATCTAAAGGTACATCTGCATGCTGCCCTCACTTGTTAATAAGGATTCACCATTGAAGCTTTCCGGTCAATGATAAATAGAACAGGATCAGCTTTTTAGTTGCTCTCAGGCCGGCGGAGTAATTTTTAACACATCTTTCTTTTACGTTTATCTTGCCTAAGGAATTGGGTAGTTGTTTTGGAAAACAAAATGACAAGCAAGACAATCTTGACTGTTCTGACTGGTGCATTTCGTTATTTTAAATACCCTTATTTTCTACGTTTAATTTCAGCCTTGTAATATTCCTTATTCCAGATTACCTCCCAGCAGTTTTCATCGACTTTCTTTGGAGAATGTGACAATTGTTTTAGTGGGTAAAAATGCAATTCCTCTGTAATATAGCTCTATAAAATAAAGCTTCAGCACTTTTAAACGCTGTTTTTATATTTGACTTATTTTATGTTTACATAAATCAAAAAGCAAGTCACTAATACTTGTTCTATCTATACCCCGTCGAACAAATTACTTTAGGTTATACTGAAACCCACGGGAAGAGGAACTCTGATCATAATATTCTCAATTATTTATTAAAAAAACAAACAAAACAACAACCATCCAGACTGACCCTAAATGTGATGTTTCCTTCTTGTTGGTTCAGGAGATTCCTTTGCTTTCTGTTACGATTTTCCTCGGCCAATTACGTGGCATCACTTTACAAGTTTCCCAAAATTTGATTTTGCCACTTAAATGTGTAATTATATGACGAGACTATGAGATATGTTGATCCCAACAGACTGTGCTCTCAGTAATATTCTCTGCTGCCTTTTATCTTTTTATCTCAATTTTTGGAATCAGAAGTCAACCAACCGCCTTTGGTCTTTGCTAACAGTTTATTTTGTTTTTTTACTGAAGAATAAACAGGATGCATTTTAATTTTAGAAAATTGTATTAAAAAAAAAACAGCACAAAAAACACAGAAAATCCACCAGATTGAAGACACAAAATGTACAATATCAACAACCACGTGAAGGTAAAGTGTATTTCATGTCATTTATACAAACTCACTTAAGGATTGGTTTGACTCTTGTGTCTAAAAGCAGAGACACAAACTAACTAAAAGTTATGGGTGGAATGCTTTGCCATGTTGTAACGGAGCATTATTGAATAATCTGTTTATGTCGCCTTGATTCAGCTGATCGCTGTAACATCAGTTGTCTCTCATTGTCTAGTCCTGCAGAATGTCCAAGATAAGGCGGAAAGTAACAGTAGAGAATTCCAAAACTATATCTGACAGCAGCAGCACCACAACAACCAGCAGCACCAGTAACCCTGCCGCCCCCTCCCGCAGGCCCAGTGTGTTTGAAAGACTTGGTCCCAGCACTGGGAGTAATGCAGCAGATGTAAGTTTAACATCTTACTGCTTGTTTCCTTCTCCACACTTCTGAAATGATTTGTTATTTTTTAAATGGAACAAGTGGATTTAATATTAAAGGTGTTTCAATTTCAGAGTCACTGCAGAAATTGGTTAAAGACTGGTAATTGCAGTTACGGCAACACTTGTCGCTACACACATGGCTCTCAGCCGCGAGGCAAAGGATTCAGCTTCAGTCGGTGAGTTGGCCTCAAAAACACTTGTTGATATTTGCTGTCTGAATTCCAGTTTTGTATATATAACAAAAGCACATGTTTGTGGCAGGTCATCTGAGAGGCCCACAGGAGATTTACGGGAGAGGATGAAGAATAAAAGACAGGATGTGGACCCAGAGAACCTGAAGCCAGACCTTGATGAGCCCACGTCCCCTACAACAAGAGTGAGACCCTTGTTTGCTGTCTGTTTTCTAAACTATCCCAATTTTCTGCAGTAATTGTGACAAACTGTCCGCTCACCACACTTATATTATTATTCTGTGTTCTAATGTCCACATAAATAAAAGGAAGCACATGGTGAAGTGCAGTTTGTCTGTGTCAAACAATCATCTCCATCCACAGCAGCGAGACTCCTCCAGAGGCCGTCACCGGGAGAAGGAGGACATAAAAATTACAAAGGAGCGCACACCCGCCAGTGAAGAAGAGCCCGCAGATTGGGAAGCTAGTCGTGAAGGTTAGTTCTCTTGTGATTGACAAGAATATCATATAACAATCAAGATAATGATTTTGCTAACCTGACATGTTGTACTCTCTTCTTAGAACTTTTGTTTTTTTTGTTGCTTTTTTTCTCTAGACTCTGATATTGGTGACTACGACTACGAGTTATCCCTAGAAATGAAGCGCCAGAAGATTCAACGTGAATTGATGAAACTGGAACAGGAAAACCAGGAAAAGAGGGACGAGATTGTCATTAAGAAAGATGAGACTCCCACTAAAACCAGAAACACCTCCATGACTAAAGTAAGGAACATTTTAAGTCTTAATGTGGTTTGTTTAGTTAAAAAGGAAAATGCAATGAAATTATTTGTATGATACTTAATATACATTACATCCTCCTGTGTGACCATAATGTTTGATGCTTTGCTCCTTATGTAAAACTTGTTGCCCATTTTTTGTGCCAGAGATTAAAAAAGCCGACTCTTGCCCTTATTTTGTTGTTCCTTTTTCAACTCATATTCTCTGCTATTTTTGCTCAGCCTTCCCCGGAGCACTTGAGTTCCAAAGATTCACCCTCACCAAGGAAATCAGGCACCTCCCCGAAACACAAAAGTGGAACCAAAGGAACTGGGTCAGGGAAGAAAGACAAAAGGACATCTCTGTCCTCACCAGTTTTAGAAACTACCAAGTCTTCAAAAGGGAGCCATAGCAAAAAGAAAGGCCCTCGTACTCCCAGTCCTCCTCCCCCAATCCCGCTGGACCTCCCAGTGACAGGCAAAAAACACAAAGCAAAGCACAAAAACAAGGAAAAATCTGAGGAAAAGCAGAAGGAAGGAAAGGATCGGGGAAGAGATGCAGAAAAACACAAAGAAAAGAAAGAAAAACGCAGGTACATTTTGGACTTAATATCTATCTAGTGTAAATCATCTTGATTTCACACTTCAATTCTCTTCAACCCTTTCAAACATATGTTTGACAGAGATCGCTCGGACAGTTCCCATAAAGCCAAGCGGTCTGTGACATCAGAGGAACGTTCTGGGAGTGTGTCGTCTCCTTCCAGAGGACCTTCACCAGCACGGAAGAAATCCACCTCTCCCAAATCCCATAAAACCTCTGTGCTCGTGTCTCCTCCTCGCAGGTGAGTCATACAGACTCAAGATATGAAAATTGCCAAAATATATTTATCTAATTGGTTTACCAAACCTCTGTGTTATCTATTTAGGGGATTAAATAATTACAATTCTTTTGAAATCCTGATCCACAATACATTTAATTGAAATCCAGCTGAAACACATAACATGCATTCACTTTTTTTTCACTGCAGGTCGCCCTCTACTCATCGTCACCACTCTCCTTCTTCCCACTCTGGTTCCTCTGCCCAGCGCCACTCTCCATCTCCACGTAGACAGCGCTCCTCCTCTCCTTCTTACCATCGCAGCTCTGCTGCCGCTGCATCTACCTCCTCTCCTCAGAGCTCTCACCACTCCAGATCACCTGTAGTCTCCCATGATGCCTCATCCCCACATCGGCGATCTGAAAGATCAAGTCCAGGGCGCCACCATTCCAGGGGCCGCAACAGGAGTCGTGGTGACAGAGAGCGGAGTTCTCCTGTCCATGAACATAGACACGAGCGTAGAGATGGTATTTTTCTATTTTTTCTTTTCTTTACATACCATTTTCCCCCAGTTATGAGTGTTTTTCCAAGTTTAAATTATTTCCATTTTTGTAAACAGAGAGCCGCAGCAAACGAGACAAAGATGGAGGCCGTGATGACCGAGACTATGACTCTGAACAGATCTCATCACGAGACATCCGCGATGACAGAGACTCTAAAGATGCTCGTGAACGACGTGATGCTCGTGATCGAGGGAGAGAGACAACAAGAGACTCTCGTGACCATAGAGACATCAGGGATGTAAAAGACTCTAAAGAGAGTAGGATAGAAAGTAGATCGAATCGAGAGTCCCTAGAGCGACGGGACCGTGAGCGGGAGCGAGAGAGAGAGCGTGAAAAAGAGAGGGATAAGGACCGAGAGAGAGAAAAGGAGCGTGAAAGAGAAAGGACTGACTCCTACAGAAAAGAGGACAGCTCTCAGGATGATAGGACTTATGGGCGGGGTCATGGACGAGAAGATGGAGGAAGAGCAGAAGCACGGGCCGAAAACAGGACAGACAAGGCAGAAAAGAATGGAAAAGGAAGAGGACGTGCAAATGAAACAGCAGACAAAGGTAAAACTCTATGAAAAAATGGAACAGGATCTCTATGTGATGTTCAGTCTGATTCTGTTCTAATCTTCACTCGGCCTGTCTTTTGTCAGGTTCCAACAGAAGTTCGCGGGGTTCCCAACTGGAAAGCTCCCATGACACCTGGGAGTCACGCAGCAGTGCAGTACGCGATCGAAGCGCGGAGAGGAGCGGTGCGAATGAAAGAAGCTCCGACAGAGGCTCAGACCGAGATCGCTACGAAAGCGACCGAAGAGAGCACGTCAGAGACTCGTCCTATGATAGGAGAGCAGGACATGGAGAGCGGGATCGCAGAGACAACAGAGAAAGAGGTACGATGTTTTTAGGATTCTTCTCTGGAACAAAAGGAAGCGCTTGATCAGATATGTTCTAATGTTTTTTAATCACAAATCTGTTTCCCCAGATCAAAGAGCAGCCAGTCCAAACAGACATCAGGGGAGGTCAGAGGAGTCGGAGAGGGAAGAGAGGAGGGAGGACCGCAGGACAGATAGAGGGGAGGACAGACGGGATGACCGGGCCCGGGACAGAGAAAGAGAGAGAGAAAGGGAGAGGGAGAGAGAAAGGGAAAAGGAGAAGGACAGAGAGAGAGAAAGGGAGAAGGAACGAGAAAAGGAGAGAGAGCGGGCCAGGGAGCGGGAGCGAGAGAGGGAGCGGGAAAGGGAGCAGAGGGAGAGAGAAAGGCAGAGGGAATGGGAAGAGAGGGAGAGGGGGAGGGAGGAGAGACGGGAGAGGAGAGAAGAGACCAGGGAAGACCGGTCGACTCGAGACGTACGGGATGATCGCAAGACGAGGTATGTTGTTGCTAATAATAATGAACCAGCACCACCTCAAACTGGGTGAACGTTCTTCTTTTTACTTCATTAACTCTATTTTGTGCTTTACTTCAGTCGGAAGAGGCCCAGGCAGGACAGCAGCTCGAGCCCCCACGCGTCTCCAAAGCAAACAACAAGGGACGCAAGTCCAGCAGACAGCGATGGCTACAACAGTGGAGAAGAGAAAAGTGAGCGTCTGATTGGCCGAGGGCAGGCCAAGCTTCACCCACAGCCCCTTCTTCCCAGCCCAGTGTGTCCACCTCCATCTGACAGTAGGGAAACTCTTTTTGAGGGCTCACACTCCTGTTTGATGGGGAATGCACACTGTGGAACACATTGTTTACAATTATGAAATACTTTATATCTTAATATGTATACCAAACTTTATTGCACTTAGCAGATGATGCCTGTACTTCATGTATACATCTTTTATTTTAATTAATTGTTTTGATCACTTAAAAAAACAAAACAAAGTCTTAATCTTTTACTGTTCTGTTTGTGCACATATAGGTAGTGACAAACATCGTCTTCTGAGCCAAGTGGTACGACCCCAAGAGCCTCTGTTACGTTCACCATCACGGGCTGCACCGTCTGATGACAAACCTACTCGCTGGAAGGATGAGGAGCGCAGAGGAGGCACCGACAAATGGGAGTCGCGTAGTCGACATGAGGAGCCAGAGACCCGAGCAGAGCGCAGCAGAGGAGGCGAAAGACGAGGAGATCAGACCTCAGACCCACCACTGGAGTCTCGTAGCAGAGGCAGAGACCAGAGAGAGTCGACAACACCACCTCCTTCAGTTCTTCCCACTAGCAGCGAAGAGAGAAACACTGCTGCAACACAGTCCCAGGAGGAAGGCAAAAGAAAAACAAAGTCTCAGAGGAAGGGGCAAAAGAAAGGTCGAAAAGATGAGGAGGTTGACGTCAGCAGCAGTCTTCCTACTGCAGGGGATCGCTTCCACCTTGACCCTCCACCGGTGGCTCCTGCAGAAGTTTCTGCTCCTCTGCCATCTCCCAGAAAAGTGGTCAAAAAGAAGGTCCTGGATCGGAAAAGAAAACGATCCCGAGGACCAGAGTCTGATGTGTCTGAGGAGGAGACATCAGCTCATCAACAGCAGGGTAAGAGAAAGAAAGGTCCCAGGACTCCGCCACCTTCTATGAGGCCTGATCACCGTGCTACTGTAGACAATGTGGAGCCTTCTCCACAGGCCAAAGTGGACAACTTCAGTGACTGGTCAGATGAGGAAGTCATAGGTCGTGGAGGAGCTTCACTGGAAACACAAGCTCCTCCTCCAGCTCCTACTGAGCCTTTGAGGAGAAGTGGTGGAGCCAGGCTGGGAAGAGACAGAGAAAGGTGCAATCCTCCAGCCATCGCTCCTCTACTCTCCCAGGATCCTCCAATGCTGCTGCAAACTTTGACTCCTCAGCCACTCATGTCTCAACCACTGCTCCGTAAACCTCCTCCAGAGCAGGCACGCAGCAGCAGTATGGGTAGCAACCAGAGCCGGACATCTTCCAGACGACTGCGGTCACCCTCCAATGAATCAGCTCACCGAGAAGATGCGCAGGGTTCTCGATCCCACCGTGGACGCCTTCAGGGCAACAACTCGCGTGACAGGGAGAGAGAGCGAGACAGAGAGAGGCAGACTGTCACTGAACCTCCTGTAACAGAGAGGAAATCCAGAATTGACCAGCTGAGGAGAGGAGAGCCAAGTCGCAGCACCTCCTCAGGTAAATAAGTGTACAAATATGCACTTCAAAACACTTAATAGTTTAGTTTAAGTTTAGTTTACCTCCTGCAGGTCATTGAAAATATTTTGTTTTTACAGAAGAGAGGTTTTTTTAATCCATTGCATCAGGAAGTACAACAATGTGTTGTTGTCTGTTTTTCCCACTCCACTTGCACAAGTAGCACAAACAAACAGGTTTAGGTTATGTATTTGTATTTTAACATGTCTATTGGTGCCCAAAGTCTCCAACCTATGTCTGTTTTATAGATCGACAGGATTCCCGCAGCCACAGCTCCAGGCGCAGCTCCCCTGACTCTGAGAGGCAGACCCGATCCAGGTCTCGCGCTGGCTCTTACGACAGTCGTGAAAGGGAGAGAGAAAGAGACAGGGAGCCATTTGATCGGGACAGAAAAGACATCCGACCACAGCAGCAGCCACAGCAGCAGCAGCCTCCACTGATCCTCCAGCAGCCGCTGCAACAACGAGACTGGGAAGCTGAACCAAGAGAGTGGCCAAACAGGGGACGAGAGCCCCTGCTCATGCGTCCTGGCCGAGAACCCAACCTAAGAGAGCGGGACATCAGGGACAGGGAACGTTTACTCCCCGAGGGACTCATGCAGCAGCATGAACGGGAACGAGAGAGGGACAGAGAAAGAGACAGCAGAGGTGAGCGGGGCGGAGATCGAGACAGAGACAGAATGTTGATGATGATGGACCTGCCCCAACATGGGGATCTTAGGACTGTGGGGCGAGGAGACACAAGGCAGGACAGAAGTGACTATGAACCTCTGCTGCCAAGAGAAGTCTTCAGTCCACAAGACACAGACAAAACAAGCAACAGTCACCACCTGGGTGTAGAACGGGAACACGAGAAGGCGGACAGCATTGATGGTAAGCTAAAAAAACAGACGAGGGAATAAAGTTCTTCTCAAAAACTCAGTAGGATTTTTACTTTTTATTTAGTTGAAAGTTTTTGGGTTTTTTTTTCTTCCTATAATACTCATGAAAACACATGACATGGAATAAACATCGCATTATTCACCAAATAAAGTATAAATTATGAAAGCATAAGGCCACAAATGTAGTAGTAGTTGTACAAAACCAATACAGATAAATACAAACATACTGTGTTTTCTCAGGAGAGGATGACGGCAGAGACGACGATGCTCAGTCAGTGGCGTCTGTAGGGGAGGAGTACGAACCAATCAGTGATGATGAGCTGGATGTAATTCTGGCTGACAGCCAGAAAAAAGAGGATCAGCAGGATGATGACAAACTCACAGGTACTTCAACAAACTTTAACTTTTAACTATTATTTATCAAAACTTGCTCCACAAAATCCCTTCATCTAAACCGGAATAATGTTCCTCTTTCCCAGGTCCTCTGGATGTTATAGATGTGGACTGGTCCAGCTTGATTCCAAAACAGAAGCAGGAGCAGCGGACACCAGGTGCAGCGCTGCTCCGTTTCACTCCTGCAGCTGTGCTGCTTCGAGCCGGCATCTCAAAGAGACTCGCTGGTCCTGAGCTTCTGGAGAAAGTCAAGGATGTATGCAAGACTGAGCTGGACGACCCGAAAGGTAAGAGTTCTGACCTGAACAGATGGACCAAGCCATGACACGGCTTCACTGTGTAAAAATAAAACTAACCACAGTTTTTGGCCTACATTGACTCTCACATTACCAGATGCTGAAAAAATGTTTGAGCATGACCTTGGAGCCCTGAATATGGCAGCGAGGAGAAGGCGTGTGGAGAGAGCAGGTTTACTCACCAACCTTGGTCCTTGCTGTAAAGCCCTGTGCGCTCGTAGGGACTTTGCCATTCGTCGCCAGCTGTTAAAAAATGACAAGGTAAAGGTCACTGGCTAAAAGCAGAGTTCAAGTTTTTTTCCTTTTTTCTTTGTTACCAGTGTAGTCATCAATTGGTTTTTAGGAATTAAACTACAATTGTGCTATATGTAACACAATTATTATTGTAGCATGTATTTAACATTGTGAAAGTATTTTTTTATTTTAACATTGAACATATGTTTAAATGCATTAAGATTATCAGAGATAATTGTATGGTATTACTTTTTTCTGGCTGCTCCAACGTTGAATCGTTTGCCTACATCTAGCTCTTTATTACTTATCTAATTCCTAATTTTTCAATAGACTTGAATGCAAACTGTTATTGTTACATTCTTTCGGCTAGCACCACATTTCTGTCTATTTTTGATACCTTTTTTCCATTATTTAATACAATTGATTTGTCTTCTTTACATTAGGGCCTCACCAAGCAGTACCTGACCGCGCCTGTAGTGGACAATGAGCTGCTGCAGATGAGCATACGTCTCTTCAGAAGGACAATGGCAGGTCAGGTCACAGCCCCAGAACGTTCTGACAATGCCTTGGCACCAGCTGCTGAGGTGTCAGCAGGGGGCAGTAGTAAGCTGAACACAGCTCAGCCTGAGACCTGTCCTGACAGAAATGGCCTCACAGAATAAAGGATGACAGAGTATTCCTCTTTACTCAACTATATCCTTTTTTTTCCTTTTTGTACACAGGCAGACTATTTTTAACAGGACAAAACACATTTAGAAAATGTATATCCATATCTACAAGTTTTCCGTTGTGCTTCATATGTGATGGATGATTTGCAAGTACCGTGCTGGTGGTTGTACATTATTTTAGGCCTTTGTAGGTATGGATTTCATTAGCCAATTAAAAAAAATAAACCTGATGTATTTCACTTTCATGCAGTAGTTGCTTTGAAATTGTCTTTTACATCTGCATAGCCATATTACTTGTTTTGTTTTATCAGATTGTGTTGGTTACTGCAACTGTGCATTAAAATAACCTGACATTGATGTACCCAGCCAGTCTTTTGATTTGCATAGGGTGGCTGTCCCACCTTTGAGTGTGATACATTGTTTTTGTTTACATCAAATCACACAATATCAGCAGAAGAGACACTACTGAACAAAGCCATCCTGACAGGACTGGAAAGTTTGTCACGAACAGATAGTCTGTGGAAACTTGTGAATTGTTTGGAGTTGTATGGAAAAGTTTCTGAAATTAACTCGAGTAAGCTGTATCTGAAACCTGTTCTTCAACACTGCCACAAGGGATCAAATCACCAGAGCCAACATCTTCCTGGAAGGAAAAGACACTTCAATGTTTAGGTTGAAAAAAAGAACAGGAGATTCTCCATTTAAACTGAACATCTCATCTTTGTGTTTTAGTGTTTCACCCCTCCGAGACACATAAAACAGACTTGTACAAAGGAGACGTACTGTCATTGCATTGGCAATAGCAGGTTTGGAGATCTGGGTGTAACAACGCCCATTCTGTCTGTGAATGAGACTTCAACGATGGCACTGAAAATGCCAATTATGTTTGAGAGGGAAAAATGTACATTTTCAGATCGTTTTTAATACGGTGTGCAAGTGTTATTACTGTACTTTTTATTTTTCTGTAAAATAAATGTAGATGGTTGTTTAAATTGTAGTTTCATTTAGTTGTAATTTGACAAGTGAGAAACTGAAAAAATGTATAATGTTTATTTATCAAGAAGAGCTAGGAAGATGGAAAGAAAAATTAGGTTAATGTTGGGTTTTAAGGTAGTTTTAAACAGTTGGTTATCTATAAGCAGTACTTCGACAATATATTTAAAATGTCTAAATTCCCTATCTATCCCTATTGATCTATTTATTACTGAAACTAATTTAAATAACTTTCACAATAAGAAGGTAAAACGAAACATCTGGAAGCTCTCTAGGTTTCATTAATTGATATATTACCTCAATTTACTGTCGTGACAGGATAATTACAGGAGCAAAATCACAACTGTACGTGAAAATGTTTGGCAGCATATTTAGCCAAATATTTTGAACTTTGGTCTTTGAAAAACAAAGTGTGTAAATCAAACGAAAACATGATATAATGCCTTAGAAATCTTGTCTCGAGCTTTTCCCCCGATTTCACCGTGTAGGAATTACCGTCTGGACCAGCATGGATTTACATGTGACTATCTAAATATCCTGATATTGTAAAACAAAGGATTCAATGTTTATTTAACGTCAACCTTCGTTTCACTTTAGATGTTTTAGACACTTATTCGGTATGTTGTTGGGAAAAAAACATTTTCGAACCGGTAACAACAATTACGCTGACATTTCAAAATATTTTGGAATCAAGTACAATTTAATGGCATACCCGCAAAGCCTAAATTATATTAAATTATTGTCACTTAAGAAATTACCTGTCTTTTTTTTTTTTTTTTAAGTGACTTCAATCACAGTTCATTAACAACACAACACCATATTGCTTACAGGAGGAACCTGGTTCAGTGGCTGGCGGACAGTATCTCTGACGGACCGGTTTCCTTTTACCCAGAAGCCCCCGCCCTTAGTCCGTCCTTTCGACTTCCGCCTCTACTACGAGCGAATGTGAGTATTTTCTTTGCATTTTTTCCCCTGTTCAATCTAACGGCATCCCGTGATTTTTAAGCACCAAACCAAACCACACTTACAATTAATATGATAAATAATGTTATATGAATCACATATTATTGTTTTGGCGATGTATTAGGTATGAAAATATTTGTATAAACCACAATTGGTATGGCTTCTACAGTCTGAGCCGGGGCTGCTCGTATTAGCTGTTCCTGATAAGTTTCGCCTGTTTTACCTGACCTAAAACGTGTCATAAGGTTGTCATAAACCGGTTCCAGCATAAAGTCTTAATATTTTTCATCGTTTACGTTCACATTGTGAACTTAGGCTTTCGACCCCTTTCGCTATTTGTTACATTGCTAGCATGGTATTGTTAAAGTAAGCCAAAGGGTGTCACGTCGATATACGCGACCGGCTTGCTTTAAGTGAATATTGCTAGTAGTTATATTTACCTTATTAATGTGTCTATCTTTTTAATTAGCCGGTTAATTTCTGTTGGCCAAACATATGTTTGTTGTTTACAGATGGCCCCAACCAAGAAGGGAGAGAAAAAGAAGGGGCGCTCTGCCATCAATGAAGTGGTGACCAGAGAGTACACCATCAATGTCCACAAGCGTATCCATGGCGTGTGAGTACTTGATAATATTTTTAAATTATCTCTTCTATTTTAAGTAAACTACAACCACTTTACACTGGGGCTGGTTGTTAAAGTTTCTCAACACCAAAAGATTAAGTTCCCTTCTAAAAACTATCACATTCTTGGAAAGGAGTAGGCAGCAAGTATTTATGTTCATGTGTTAGCCCTGCTTGTTTAATAATGTCACAAGTTTGCAAGCAATTTAATTGCCTTTTTTAATGTGCTAATTTGCAGGAGCTTTAAGAAGAGGGCTCCCCGTGCCATCAAGGAGATCCGCAAGTTTGCTGTGAAGGAGATGGGAACTCCTGATGTACGCATTGACACTCGTCTAAACAAGGCTGTGTGGAGTAAGGGTATCAGGTAAGAGAATCCCATCAGTACCTAATATCTGAGGGAAGTTGGAGCAGTTATCAGTCACCAGCTTACTTTAAGAGTGAAGATGGTGATCAAGTTATAGAACTGTATGTCACTTGTTTTCAGGTGTTTAATAAATGTGTGGTTGGAAGTAGGGCTAATGTGTTTTGGTGTTAACCCATTTGTCAACAGTTGATGTTTTTGAGCAAGTGTGAAAGAGGATTATCTGAAATGAGGGTCTCTCATACAGAGGAAATGTGTTCTATTCTGCTGATTTGAGGGTTGCAGTTGCATGTGTGAAACTTTATCATATCCACAGACCATGATTGTATCTGTTGTTGTGCAGGAACGTGCCATACAGGATGCGCGTACGTCTGTCCAGGAAGCGTAATGAGGACGAAGACTCCCCCAACAAACTGTACACCCTGGTCACATACGTTCCTGTCACCACATGCAAAGGTATGGTAATGGTACTGCTGTCGCAAGTACCAGAAAAAGAAATCCATCTGGTTTTATAACCATGTTTCTTTTCTCTCAACAGGTCTGCAGACAGTAAATGTTGATGAAAACTAAATTTGTCCCCTCTACGAGTGGAATAAATGGAGTAAAAAGAGCTCTTGTGTTTTGTTCTGCTTTTGTGCTTATTAAGAATTTGTGGTTTATTGTACACATTTTTTGTACACATTAAGTTTGTTCAGTTAAGAGTTGTGATCTTAATGTTGTGCACGTGAAGATTGACCCTGACTAAATATTTCTACGAAGTAAATGTTAAACTTTCATGTTTAATGCAGAAAGAAACATTTTCTGTTTGCTAAATAGAATGTTTCAGAAACTCTTTATGCAGCAACATTGATAAAAAAAAATCTGTTACAAAGATTATATCAAATTTAATTTGTTTATAAAAAGTTCATTTTTTATTTGCTTACCTGATCCAGCATATCACTTGGAGGTGAAACAGCTTCACGTGAAACTGAAAACACAGTTTAATCCTGGTTCAAATATCAGTGGGTTAAATGTAGATAAACAATTTGTAGAAAAAGCTGTGAATGGAATAAGGTTGCACATTTGGTGACCAGTATATATTTATTTGGACCAATGTCCTATGTGTAGGAAAACTACAGTCTTACTTGATTATTATTAAAAAAAAAAACATTATTGAACTAATGAAACCAATAGGCATTTTGTGGCCAGGCACATGAACACACTTTCTTCTTTCATCTTCAGTCTCATGAACTTTTATGCTTATATTTTCTTAATGCTAGAAAACAAACATGCTTAAACAGTGTAAACATTATTAACCCCCGAGTAACGTTTAAATAAAGTACCAGATTTTTTATTTTGTCTAAAAGCTTTTGTTTCCTCCATGGAAAACCAAGGCATCAGACATAAACATAGCAAGTCTTTTGCTCGTCCTTTTCTGTTTTAGCTCTCATAATGGTCTGCATATTGAAATTATAATGTTGAAGAATATATACCAATAGCGGAAATGATAGCATTTCCACCAGACTAAGCAAAATATATTGAAATGAAATTGTGTTTATTAAATTAAACAAATAGCTATTAAATCCGATATCAAATGATGGTAGGAATTAAATAAACGAAAAGAATAAAAACATGACATCTAGTGGTGTGTTTGCAGGACTGAGCCTTTGAAAGCCTTTGTTTAACTTTTTCACATAACGCCTTTATTTTGTGAGTAATTTACCATCAACAATATGTCGTGTTTTATCCTGATATAAGATATTGATAATATTAATGCACCAAATTAGATATATCCTTTGTATTTACTTAGGCAATTTAGAAAACCATTGACTTCCGGAAAACACGGAAGTGGGCGTGTCTGCATTCTAGCCTCAGTCGCTGTACCAGCGCTGAGTCTGTGTATTATGTCAACTTTACACAGGAGAGTTTGTTCAGCTGTCACGTAACGGTCGGTCTAGACTCAGGTAAGCGAATCAGGTGTTTGTTTTTACTTAATTTTTGTACCAGCGCAAATAGCATAATGTCACAACTTGTATGAGGTGTTTTTCGGAGGACAACCATGGTTCATTGGCAAGCTAGCTCCAAACGGCTAATGACCTCATTTTTTGAAATAGTGATTATAGTCTAATATGCTAATTACCAATACAAACCTATTGACAACTGTATTACAGACGAGCTGCTAAGTCGTAACTGAAGTGTCAGCGGTCGGAACAATTTGAGACATTGCTGAGCCTTACGGTGATGACTATGTTCTTTGAAGTCAATAGAAATTATACGATGGAAATATCAGTAGTTGCAAAAGTGAGACTCACAATAGCATATCAGTATTAAGGAAAGTTTCATCAAAGTTGAACCTGCAACTCTGTTCTTAGGAGAACGTTGTTCATAATCCATGGCTCTGGACTGATGCCTGGAGGGATGCGGCTCCATTGGCTGCTCCTCGGGGCTTGCGGCTGGGTGCTGCTGATTCTCATGTTTGTCAGCAAGTACAACTTCTTCAGAGCTGTAGACGGTGAGGTGATGTTTCTCTTCACAACTTGACTGTTGCTGTAGGTCTAAAACTAAGACTTAAGAGCATGTGTGCTGAAATTTACACTCTGACGTGTTTTTTCAGACTATGGAGAAAAAGCTGGTCAGAGTTGGACTGCGCCAGGAATCATGGTTAATAAAAGCAGACCTGCTCCACCACCTGCAGATAAGGTTGTTATTCTGTTTATTCTAACCATGTCTTGTGGATAATTTGGATATCTTGTGTAGATTTAATGGGCAATTAAATTACATTTCTGCTATATATGTGTGTTTGTGTATCAGCCCTCAGAAGCCCCTACTTTGACAGACTGGCAGTCTGTCATTGACCATCGACGAGAATTGCTCTCAAGTGTGTGCAAGAACAACAGCCTAAAGAATCTGACCCACGTATCTATCAGCAAGTTTGTCCTCGATCGCATCTTTGTTTGTGACAAACACAAGATCTTGTTCTGCCAAACACCCAAAGTTGGCAACACACAGTGGAAAAAGGTCCTAATTGTTCTAAATGGTAAGTGAATATAAAGTAGCAAAAATGTATGAAAAAAGAGAGGGTGGCTAAGGCAAGGTTAAGATTATAAGGTGGAGCTGGTCAGCAAGGAATGCAGGAACAACATGTATTTATTGGCCAAACAGAGAGATTGAGTTGGAAGGATGATTGTGGGTGGTTAGGGTGATAGTGGACAAAAAGTGAATTACTAATGGGGGTAGGGAGCGTAGGAGGTGCTGACTCATAAAGAGAGTAGTTAAGAGATTTCTTCGGTTTTTGTTGACAGGAGAATTTCCTACTGTGGAGGAGATTCCTGAAAACCTGGTTCATGACCATGAGAAAAATGGGTTACCTCGCCTCTCGTCACTTTCACCACAGGAAATAACTCAAAGGTTGGTCTCACCCACTGTTCTATTTTGTGAAAAACAGTAGCAATGCAATGAGGATGATACTAAATCACCTTCTCTTGCTCTACAGATTAAACACCTACTTTAAGTTTCTTATAGTGAGAGATCCTTTTGAGCGTCTGATTTCTGCATTTAAAGACAAATTTGTTATAAACCCACGCTTTGAGCCTTGGTACAAACATGACATTGCTCCGGCAATCATTCGCAAGTACCGCAAGAGCCACCGTGACACGGGCCATGCCACCTCTGGTTTACGTTTTGAGGACTTTGTCCGTTACTTGGGAGATGTGGACGGTCGTCGCCGTATGGACAGACAGTTCGGCGAGCACATCATTCACTGGGTGACGTACGTGGAGCTCTGCGCCCCTTGTGAAATAAGCTACGATGTGGTTGGTCACCACGAGACACTGGAGCAGGATGCGCCCCACATCCTCAGAGCGGCTGGTGTCGATCGGCTGGTGACCTACCCCAGCATTCCTCCAGGAATCACCCGCTACAACAGGTCCAAGGTGGAGAACTACTTCTCCCCTATCAGTAAGCGAGACATTCGCCGTCTGTACTCAAGATACCAGGGGGACTTCCAGCTTTTTGGTTATGCAAGACCCGACTTTATACTGAATTTAAATAATTGACACAAACACGACAGAGGGTTTTTTTAATCCTTGGCAAACTCTGCTCTGGATTGAAGTTCAAGAAATATGTGAAAGTTGTGTGTGCACTGCTGCTCTGTCTCAGAAAAAGTTAATGTCCTATTTTGTGGAAACGTTGAGGAACTCTGTCATGCAATCTACTGTATAGGAGTTTTTGGCCCCCAACTCAGGTATGGCCAGAAAGTTCTTAGACTGAGAAAAAAACACTAATGTCATAATGTCACTAACATATGTAGGCTCAAGTTGTGTGTGTCTTGTTTATCTTGACCATTATGGTTACCAATAATTTTTATTAATAGGTCCATTAACTACATATGTTTCATAGCTTGGAGTTGCATGATGGACAGAGGTCATGTTATTCCAGAATAATCTGTACATGTACATTTAGAGTACTGACAAAGCAGCCTGGTACTACATTCGACAGAGTACAAATATACAGTATGTTGGTCTCGGCACATGTATTTTGGATACATGCACCCAGCAACAGCATCTCCAGTGAGATTTCTGTATCTCAGCTGAGATTAAAGCTCTGGTCTGTGGCCACCGTAGGGAAATCTGGGTAATTGCCAAAACACTGCCTTTACCCCAGCATGACGTATGAACACCTACCCCAGGTGAAATACCGCATTAATTATATTAGTTTATTATTAAAACGGCAGTGCAAGCATTTGTGTACACATTAGCGGAAGAAACACTTAATGTTATTAATCTGTGTTCTCCAGTAATCCGACAGGGTTCTATTTTCACTCAAGATTTTTATCTGTATTGTGTGAGTTCCTATGACAATAGTTTCATTTTATGGGGCTTTTTTTTAAACAAAGGACAAACTCTGTGTGGAGAAGTTCACAATGAGTTACAGGGAAATGTAAAAACCAGTTACTACCTTATATTCAACAAATGGGTGTAGTTAAACGTGTCAGGGATGAGCCTTATTGTAGCTGACTTTCTTTTGCACTGTGGGTTCCAACATCACATTTTAAATTGTCAAAAGTTAGAAATAGTGCAATGCTTTTTTTCCAAATGTTTCTTTTTTTTCCTGTGTTACCAGCTGTTAGTCGTTACATTTGCTGAGATGATTCTTTCAGGAGCAACACCATTTAGAGAATGAAAGGAGGGATAAAGGAAAAGATATGGGTCGACCGGGATTATCGGACATCCCTAAATTAAACATTACTAGCTGGAGTGTTTGGACTGAGAATGGCTTAATAAGTTTTTGTCATGTCCATTAGCCATTGTAACAACACAGAATATCAATAGCAATGGTAAGACACTGATTGTAGTGTAACATATTTCCAAATAGCTAACATCACTGTTGTAGCCCATAGGAAAGCATTTCTTGAGATAATGCTGTACAAATTATTATCCTTATTAATAATTATTAACTTGTAACAAAATCAGACTGGTACCAAGACCAGAATTTGGTCATTGATTTCCAGCACAGAGACTGACAGTTGTGAAAACAGTGAGTGTGCTGTAGGTTTGATACTTCGTACATTTGCAGAATCACTTTTAATTTATAATTATAATGAAGGATTTCACCTTATGTTCAACTGCTTGCTGACTTGTAAGCCTGGTGACTGTGACATTAGGACACTGGTTGGTAATAAACATCCTTGTGAACATAAGCTTTCTTTGATTTTAACCTGTTCTATTCAAGCAGCGCAACTACAGCAATTATCCACTAGGTGGCAGTAAATCCCTATACGCCTCCCGAAAAAAATGTCTCGAAATATGTAGATAGTTGAAGACAGATATTTAGAGTTACAAAGGACAAGTGTTGGTTATGAAACATGAAGTGATTGAGTTGAAACAGTAATGTACATAGTTGTAGGGAGGTGAGGGGAAAAAAGAAACAAAAAAATATATTTACAAAAAAAGAAGGAATGAAGTGCATTATTTTCATTATGATACAGCACACAACAAAAGGTGACCTCTGCCTTAAACCCATTGCCTTGGTAAGTTGGGGACAGTTGAGGAGCCATTGGAAGAGGAGCAAGGACACTTTGCTACACAGTTCTGCAGTCCAACGCACTCATACATTCCTATGGACATTTTTAAGTGCAAAGTTAACACACTGCCTGTTTTTGGACTGTCAGAGGAAACTAGAGTACCTGGAAAAACCCTTACCATACAGTACAGAAAGTACATGAAAACTCCATAAAGAAACACTGTTACCAGAGTGTTCAGACTCATAGAGGACTTGTAGTGTGTACTACTTTCTGTAGACTGTCACATTTGAAGAAGGTTGTCCCATCTCTTGTGTTGAATGATGCCTGGTTCAAACTCTTCTCTATCTTCCACAACTCATTGTGTGCTTATTGGTTGTTGTCCTGCTGCATAATAAGTTTCTGTCCAATCAGACACCCCCATTATGCTATCACATAATTAATATGAATTTGATGTATTTTCTGACCATTTCAAACAATAACAATCCCAACTGAATTCCAACCACCATTTATAAAAAAATGCAGCCTCTGAGCTTGTATGGAACATCCACCATTAGTCACTGTTGCCTGCAGACACTTGTTATTGAACTACTCTCACATCATTAAGTAAACAAACTTTCCATATCTGTAGCTAAATATCTCAGTTTTGACTCACAGTTCACCTGATCTTATGTGTTTATGCATTGCCTTGTGTTGCTGCTTTCCTCCAGTCTGACCGGTTTGTCGTGCTAGAGTGTTGAGGGTTAAGTTTGTTTAAACTACACATCACCTTCTCCGGTCTGAGTGTTTCATGATAAATAACAGTCAAAACAGCAGCTGAGCCTTTCACTCGCTACTGTCACCTCCTCATTTTGGTCTGTCACTCTAGTAAAATAAATCCTGGCCTGTAACTATAAAAACATAGTGATAAAAACAATAAATCAGTATAATGGTGTGTGTCTCTGATGTGACCTAATTATCCTAATAACAACAAGTCATATTGAAAGATATGCTTATGATTTCCTCTTTTTTGTGTTATTATATGTGACACACTAACAGGGTTCTTGGCTCACTTTGGGTCTTCAATCAATCATCTCACGTATTCAACCATCACTACTCCTGAGACTGCTCACTGCCACACCCATAATGACCAATATTGACACTGGGGCCCTTAAAGCGAATGTACGTGTACGCGCGTGTTCACGTCAATATTCAGTCTGATGCTGTGGAGCAGAGACAGGGCATTAAAAACATGTAAGCAGACTGAGGCCCAGCCCTTGTCTTTCTCTATGAATCTGAACCAGCTTCCATCTGTGCCTGTACGGTCAAGCTGCACAAAGCATGCAAGTGAAACAGGATGTTTTCAAATTATACATTGCAAAAAAGTACCATCTTCTACTGCTACTAGAATACTGTAAATGACTGTGTTATTCTTCTTTTATTGAAGTTCTGCAGATTAATTAAACGGCCTTTCCACCGTTAAATTGTTTTAGTTCTCACCCTGGCCACATATTTGTAATATATAAATAGACCAGCTATGTTACCTACTTCACATCTAAAACAATTCGAACACTTCTTTTTGACACTGCAACTAGAACCCGAATCAAAGGCATCTCTGTTGAGCTCCTTTCATTTCAACTCGAAACCAAATTAGTAACGCTATTTATTTAGTTATAAATGCATTAATATAAAGACTTGAGTTGTTTGGGAAAGTGGGGTCTTTTATTTTGAAACACGTTAGCGGAAAGCTAGTTTTTCAGGCTAGCTTTGTCTCTAGTGGCTTCAAGCCATAGAGAGTGGACAGGAGGATTCTGCTGCTGCTGCTGTGCCTGCCGCCTCAACATGGAGTAACGACACTCTCAGCCACAATTGCCCCCTAAAGAGCAATACGAGACGGCGTGTCGTTGTTCCATCTACCGGCTAGACCACAAATGAGCCAGCAGCCGCTAACGTTTCTCCGCTAGCGCAAAAGGAAAAAGCTCGAAAGATGGCGAACGACTCTCCAGCTAAAAGTCTAGTAGACATAGACTTGGCTTCATTGCGGGTGAGAGTGCAGTCTTAACATTCTCTGTGTTTGTGTGCTTTATTGGTTATTTGTGTTTTTCCAGAAGCTTATTTTACTCTTTACTTGCAATGTGGCTGATACGAGGCAGTTTTGAACGCCTCCCCCGGTGTGTCTGTAGTGAAAATGACCGCTGAGCCGTAGCGAGGTGTTGCCACTGTCTGCTTTTCCTTTGTTCGAGATGCGTTTGGCATGTAGGACTGGAGCAGGGCGCAACAGCTGGATCACCCCTTTTATTCACCAACAGGGACGCGATTCTATCGTATATCACGATAAAAAAAGGCAGTCAAACGATGATCGTGATAAATTCACATTATCAGGACAAAACAAGAGGTCAAATCTGAATACCTAACGTGGATGCTTTGAGAATGCTTCCAAGCTTGCTACCATACAGTTCTAGTGATTTATTTTATTGCCACAAGGAGTACCCTGCAGACAACAGTCGGATGATGTTTATATCAGTTTCCATTAATACATGTTACAAAATGTCACTTTAAGTTGCCACAAGAAGGGAGCATGCTTTTGGTTTTATTAGAACTCAAAAGTATGGGTCAAAAAGTATGGCCCAGGGCACATTTTTGTTAATATCAGGAGTCCAAGAGAATACCTACTAAACCTGTCAGACATTCAGCATCTTATGTTTTGGTTCTGAACTGGGATAAACTTGATGTCAGGCTAAATTTTGTTAGCCATATGAACTGTTGTTGCCACTCCAGTTACAGATGTGTTGTCCAGTAAAAATGACCTTCAGGTCACAGAAAAATAGAAAAGATTTCAACAGATATTGACAAGATTCTATAGGTTATCGCAAACATTTTAGTGAAAACATTTGCTTCACCTGGTTGTGGAACCAGGAGGAGTCTTTCGTCCTTTGCCCTGTCTGTGGACAGAAATTGTTTCTTTTGAACCTTCTTTCAAGTTTGGAAACATTTGTAATGCTGCAGTAATATTCATTTTCTTACATTCAAGTTGAACAAAAAGCTTTTACAGTTACAGTTAAGTATCTTCCAAATGTGACTGTTGCTCTGTGATACAGATAACAATAACAGTTTGTTTCTGTGCTAATATAATGAGAAGACTTTGACTTGAACAATATTCCACACTGAAATAGATCTCAGGTTCTCAGGTTTTACCAAGCTGGATAAACTAGCTAGTAAAATCCAATTAACAGTATTCAGACTATTAGTGTCTGCTCTGCCAGGAGGAGGAAAAAGAAGGCAGTAACACACGTGACAGTGGTTAAATGGATACCGTTTTAAATGTTTTGCATAATTTTTTTTTATATTTACAAATGATAAAGACAAAGACCCGATTGTGTCTTTTATGTTTTGTCTACAACAATAAAACATAGCTGTATTATCTTAATTGAAAATGAATTTAAATTCAGGACTGCATCCATATTTTCATTACCACCACCTTAAACACCCAAACTTCAATGATGAGCCCTGGCCAGTGTTAATGTACTTTTGTAAAAATGGACAAACTATACAATTCTTAAAAACTAGTGATTTCTGACATAATTTTAGGTGTATGTTAGAGAGATGTTTACCGTTAACGGTAACCTTGAGAAGGATTAAGCCGTTGAGATAAACATATTTTAATCAGATTCAAATGTGTTATTTATTGTTGTCCTCTATCATTGACATAATTAAACCTAACCTTATTAAAATCTGTTCTTATTTTCAGGATCCAGCCGGAATATTTGAGTTGGTGGAGGTGGTTGGAAATGGTACCTATGGACAAGTATACAAGGTTAGTCGATGGTTCTTATGTGACCTGCACTGTTGTTATTGGTCAGGCTTCACCTGGTTATTCAAAAGACCATGAGATTAAAGGAGTTGTTTTTTTTAGGTGGTCTTTTACACAGTCTAAGGATTACATACAGGAGATGGTAAACAGTCTAAGATAAAGTTAAAAATCTGTACAGTCTTTTGAGATTGGAGTCAGGAATTGATGAAAGGTCAATGTTAGTAATTACAATATTTCAAGAGAACAATGCAATTTAGTGAGACAAAATATTACATAACACATAAACGTGACAGGAATACTCACTGCCTTATATTTAACACTTGAATTGGTGGCTGTATATTTAGGTGTTATTTGCAAACTAATAATAAACTCTTCAATATCTAAACACAAAAAATGGGATGAAGCCAAATGAGGCACGAGCTAATGTATCAACATTATGAAGGTTTAATCAAGGTTCATAGTTGTTCATTATTGATATTATAATGAGCAATATTTGCTTAATGGTTGAAGAATAAAACACATTTTTAAATATTTGATTAATCATCACAGTTAGTTGTCTATCAACACTGAGGGATACGGTTCAAGAAAATACTGGTCATTAAATAATATCCGTAAAAGTCTGCTTTGTTTTGATGTTTAGTGTGTTGAAAGTGAATCAGAAAGTTTGGGTCTGTGACATCACCTGTGGCTGCTTCAAGTGGCTACAGGTGAGAATGCAGATATGCTGAAACAGGGCGTGTCACCACGACTAGACACACCCTGTTTTTGCTTCACCTGTGGCCACATGGCAGTTGAGAGGTGCTGCCAAAAATGAAGAGGAAAAGAAAGGAAGGATTGTGTTGATGTATAAAATTGGTCTGTCATTTTTCTATACTGAAGGTTTGAAGAGTCACATTCATGTGTGTTCTGGGTACACCACACCACACAAGAACAGATACATTTGTATCGTACATGACTGAGAACCTCAAATAATACCCCTGTAGCCCTCATTGCTGTTTAGTGTTTCTTAGAATAGCACTGCTGCTGCAGACATAATAGAAGTCTTTTCTTATTGGTGTTACATCAAGGTACAAAGCCATAGGTGTCCTATTTATTGTTTTTATTTTTGTGATGTTGCCCGTTTGTGCTGAAGTAGCAGTTTTTCCATACAAAGTTACTTGAAGGCAGAAAAGATCTAGTTTACATAAAGTCTCTATCTTTATAAACTTAGATGATTGTTAAAACTAGGAATGGCTCGATCTGATACTCAGGATGGGTATCAGCCTGATTATTATCAAAATTCAGAGTATCGTCACAGTATTGACTTATTGGATCCTTTAAATCATGGATTATGCATGCTGATGATTTGTTTAGCTCTGTATAGGAGCTGTGTCTGTTTTTATTATTAGCATGAATGTTAAAAAATAAATATTATATTTTATCCACGTCTATGTGATTTTAATGATCTACATTGGAAAATTGTTTTTACACATTAAAAAATAGAATCTTTAAGTTGTGCAGAAGAAATAAATGGCACTACGCCGTTAGGGTGCTGCAAATTGTAGCGCATGGATAGACCATCAGTTACTGTAGCTATCTATAATTTCACTACATCAATAAGTCAAAGAAAGGCCATGTACAGACCGGGTGTTAACATCTGTCTTGAGTAATCCAGTCACATGCAGACTGCTTTAAGTCTCTGCAGAACTGCAAATCTTCACAAGTGTGTCCTCAGAGCAGGTCACAAAACCACATTAGGAGGTGGTTTGAGGAGCCATTCGTCCACAGACATGTCCTCAAACTACTCCCGAGCATAAATACTGAAAAAAATCAGAGAACCTTTTTAGACCTTAGCCTGCTGCTCTTTTACTCTGCATTACAGCTTTCTAATACGCCCGGCTACATCCAGGCTTGTGAAAAGATAAAAAGGTATTGTCAGAAACATGATGTCAGCGTGTGTATGCTAAGACTTCAGCAATAAGAGCCAGATCATGTGGTCCTAGCAGATGAATCAGGGAGAATTGTCATGTCAGGTGAGGACAGTCATTCTGTGTACTGTCTGTATTTGGTCTTTTTATTTAGAGTGAATGTTCACAGCAGGTCTGAAGGAAGGCCCTGAGGAGCATGTGCAGGGGCAGTGGTTGTGAGTATGAGGGGGGCTGCAACTGGTAGAAGAGCAGCTGTCCACTCTGAGACAGAACCTGCAGCACACTCTTTACAAAGCCCAGTTTGTCTCTGAGCTCCGCTTTGGCTCTGTGGCTCAGTCCGTCCGTCAGTCAGAGCCACAGAAAAGAGACGTTTGTCTGCAGGATTTCAAATGGCAAAGGGAATGAATAATAACAACAGACCCCCAACTGAAGAAGGGGTGGAGTTTCTTCTCCCTCTGAGACTTTTCCTGCTTTGTCAGGCAGTTGGTCACAGTTTGTAAGCTCCCCCTGTCTTTGCTAAAACAATGTGTTTAAGCTTCTTTATTCTTTGATTTGTGGTGATTCCTTCCTTCTGTAGGAATTTGTTTTGTTGTTGTTTTTGCCTATTTTTGGAAGCTAAATGTTTTCCAACAACAGCCATATGTTTTCTTGCTCTTGTATTAGAATACTGTTGTGCCAAACAAGCAGTTTGTTTTAAAGTGGCATCAGAGGTAAAGATCTAAATCTATAAAAGTCTCTGTGTCCTGGATGGTTGCAGCACCAGAAGCTGAATTTTAATGTCCTCTCATTAGTGGTGAAAGGGTTTTGTCTGTATCGGAGCAATTCTCTCACACAATTTTTAGTGTAAGAAACCCTGCTCTGTGTTTAGATGGCAGCAGTCGTCGGGCTAGATCACAGTGAACTCCTGAAAACACAGCACAGCACAATTTGACTGACACTTATAATAAAAATGATGTTATGGCTAAAAAGCTTTCTTCACATCACTTCATTTTTGGCTCTAGACAGCTAGCTGATTAGAGTGGAAGCCTGGATCCATATGCTGATTTAATGCGCCAGGTATTATATCAAGGCAACACAAAGTCAATGCTGTCATAGCTGCATGGTTTGAGACATGATTGCTTAATCTCAGGAAAAGATTTTACCTGACAAAGAAATTACACAACTAAACAGATTCATACATTTAATCCGAAAACTGCTAATCTGAGAAAAGCTATTTGGTCCATTTAGAGTTTGGATCTTACCTTTAAAAGCAAATTTAATGCCAAGATTAAGCAGTGAACCTAACTGAAGGATTGTCAGTTGGTAAATACATGAGTTGGGGTTTCCCATATTATTGAAAGCCATGTTTTTGTATCCACAGCAAAACAGTTTCCAATGTCATTGCTGCCCACATGTCAATACCTCATACAGCTACACATCACAACCCAAAACATCATCTGCTTTACCTAACTACAGCCTAAAGATAGTTTATAACAACATCATCTGTCTTCATATGAATTGCAGGGTTTTCTTTTGTTTGTGATCCCTAATAGAGCACCAACACATACATTGCATCTATGGCCATCTTACTTTGACATGGCCCCGTAATATTATGTGAGTGCCTTATTTTGTGATACAAACCAGTCGATGAACTCAATTTTTGACAACATTCACTAAATATAATAATGCAATGCTCCCCTGCACAAAGAGATTCTCTCAGAACTTCCCCTCCGCCTTTGTCCTTATCACTTGGCCTGGGGCCAGTTGCTGTAGGTGCCTCCACCATTGTGAATGTAGGGATAAGGAAAGAGTCATGGTAACGACAAAGAAGAAGACATAACTCTAGCTTTAAAATGTGCAGGGAAGATTCCTACCATGTTATAGAAAGTCCATATATAGTCAGACCGAGGTCTTTGAACTCCCGTTGACCTGCCTCTTTTTCTGCAATCCAACCATGGAGGGTGGGTGCATTACTACACTTTCACGCATATTTCACTGGTATGAATGTATAATGAAACTAAACAGGTACCACTTTAACTTTTGTAGTTATCTCACCGGTGCCCCAAGATAAACAACTTTCTGAGAGTCAGCGAGTGGATAGATAAGATCTGTCTTGTGTAGTTTGCTGTACTGTTGTTTGTTACCAACTTTACATTACCACACACTATGCATGATGAGCCTTTCTCAGATGTCTAACGTCATGGTTTTATTTGAGGCACACATGCCTCAAGATCAGACCAGCTACATGTTGATGCAAGAAGAGCAGTGCGGCTGTGGGCTAAAGAAAACTGTCTGTAGTTGCATGACCTTGAACACATGTTGCGTCACCCATTTGTGGTGTATCATCTGTTTCTTCACTTGGGTGGAGAGCCCTATTTTTACTTAGATTAACTACCATGCAATGGACCTCGGTGGTAATCTCTATCTGAGAAGACAGACATCATTTTGGTCACTGTGTGTTTTGAACTAGTGTGGAAAAACAATGTAGTTAGTTTCGCAGTCAAACATCAAGAAATTGTCTTTCTTTATTCACTGACCAAGCAGGATTTTTAAAAGTGGCTTTAAGGTAATCAACTCTTAAAATGCTACCTCTACCAGGTCACATGGTACTCACTGTCAGAGGCTTTTGAGTTGAACCTTCACACTTTTAGCAATATTTGAATAGTTTTAAGTGACAGGCCAATGAAACAAGGTTTTATTAATATATTACATTTTTACAGTTTTTATTTCAAAACTAGGCGTTATTGTGCTAAATGTGTTAATTAATTTGTTACATTAATATATCTGAATACATTTTAAAGCAGGTGCAGAATTGTACTTATATTTGCTTTAATACATCTCAACACATGGTCATTTATCCCGTCTTCACACTGACAATTAATAAGCTATTTGCTGAGCAGCAAAACTAATTTTGCTCCACATTTGCATGCACACTGCAAATAATGTGCACTCACTCCTCAACTAATGTACGTTAACTAATCCACTTTCAAGATGGGGGCGTCGATCGTGTGTGTCAGTTTAGCAATCCTGCAAAATTATCACACAGTTGTCACCTTCTAAATATGAAAACCCATTTTTTTTTACTTTTACTACTATGGGATCGAATACTGTATTAACTAATACAGGAACTCTTTGTTTGTTCAACCTAGGTACCCTGAGATGCCCTGAGCATAGGGCAGTAAGTAAATCTACAGCTAACTATATGACTGACACATAGATTGCTAGGGACTGTAGACTGATTAATATTGTTGATTACAGTTTCACCACCTCTGTATCTCCTAAATAAAACTAAGAATATTAAAGACAATAGAAACTTTACATAGAAATCTAAACCCATTTTTCATTCTGGTGCTTTAAAGGATCACATTAAATCGCTGTACTAGTAAGTGTTGTAGTATTTTATTACTAATTGGCTGTTGAGCTGGTAGATCAGTGCTCCTCTTGTACTGTTGTAGCGATGCCTGACGTAAAGTCCTGTACAATAAGGCCTGTAGATTCATATGAAAAAGACTCAATGTGTGAAACATCTCAAGTACAAATGAAAGTGGTCAAACACACACTTTGCATCCTCTCAGTGTGCATCTTTTGTCCCCCTCACTGTCTACTCTCACCCACTCCCTATTAAGTGTCACAAGACTCGCCAGCCATCTCTGACTGGCTGCACTTTCCTAACAAAACTCTCTCTGTTTGTCTGTGTGCTGCCCTGTCTGTGTGTAGTTCATTGAGCCAGCCTATTAACTAAGTCACTTTGAGATGAGACAAAAAGGTTGACTGCACACAAATCTGTCTAGTTTATATCTTTTTTTCCCACAAGAACACCAGTTGTTCTTCCAGTTATTTTTGCAATTTTTTTACAAAAGTGTCACATTAGAAAATATCATGTAAATGTTTTAGTTTGTGAATTGTGATTTACCACACACACTAAAAACCTGTTCTGTTCTTTTAAATTAAGCGTTGGTCTTGTTAAAACCCAGAGGGACGCAAAACAAACATGGTTTCACATTATTAGTTCACAGAGGGAGACAGCGACTGGGTGCCACCATGCTGAGGTTCTTTCAAAGGTCACTGGTTGAAGTAGGTGATGTGAGTGCTGGTTTGAAGATATGAAGGTGACATCTGAACTGGAACAGTGAGAACATAGGTGAGAAAATGTGCAGCCTGCAATTCTATAAGGCAGATTCAGAATCATTGTACAGACATACCTTGCCCCCAGCCACCCCCATTTGTACGTGTTATCATTATTAATGTCAAAGTCAAGTCGTAATCTTGAAAAACAAACAGTAGCTCCTGACCTCTTTGGTCTCTTATTTGTGCTGCTGCATTCCAACATACCCTCTGGTTCCTTGGTTATTTGTGCTGCTGCATTCCAACATACTGACCAAGTTATTTCTCCACAACACACTCACACATTCACACACACCTTACTTCAACCCTCCTGCCTCCTCTCCACCTTTCACCGTAGATGTGAGAAAGAGGCAGCTGGTGCCTGGGAGTTTTGGATCCAAGTGATGTCGCCCTGTAAAAGACAGTACTCAGCAGTTGGTGTATCTTTTATCTGATTATTCATAATCTTGTGGATTAGGGAGGATGAGATAAAAACTCAGTGATGATCAAATGCTAATTTAACATTTTCTACATGAAAGAGCTTTTCTAGGTTAAAAGGTTTAGTGATGATACTCAAGATAAACAATGATCAATGGTGTGAGTAGAGGTGGGATGGAAAAGAGCTGTCCACCCATGTAACTTTGGAGAGAAGGGGACAGAATGTTGAGACAAAGTCCAGGTATTTGTGACTGTACATTTATTGATCCTAGTGCAGCAGTTGACTGCTATAAAGTATAAAGATGCACAGTGAAGCTCAAGTCCTCCTGATGAAATGTTCCTGCATTATGTTAAATGATTAGCTCGGGGCTTTTTTCATGCGGTCTTGCACACTTCTGCCACCTGGATCAAAAGTCTGGATCTGCCACAGTGTCGTGGCTGCTGCAAAACAACACACAGATGTTTTTTTACTGTGTTTTCAGTCAAAACATCTGCCTGATGCCGGAGTGAACACACACGAAATTAGGACAAAGCAGACTGTCACTGAAAAAATGCACTGAGCTAAAAAACCCCAAGTGTTTTTTTAAAGCCCACTGTTGTGCATTGCAGTATACAGTACTTCACAGTACTTCCAGGCTGGGTTTTCAGAGAGCAGCTAAGTGTGATTGATTTTGCATTAGTGTGCTCAGTATGGATGCACTGGATTTGAGGCAAAGTGTAGGGTGGAAAAAAAAAATCCCAGTGATTTTCTTTTCTTCCACAGACCACTAATGACACTGCAGAGCATTAGTGTTCACTTCTGGTCCGTCAAGCCCCCCCCCTGCCCTTAGAACATAAAGGAGTAATACCTGACATCTGTTTTTAATTTGTGGGCAGAAAGAGAAGCTCAGCATCCTCTAGGATGTCATTGCACATTTAATTGTGCTAAAATGTGCTAAGACAGTCAAATACATGACTAGTTATTAAGAATAACCTCTTTTCTTCCATTGATCATCAGTGGCAAAGCATTTGGAACCATCTTGATGCTACGCTTTAATTAGCCTATATGGGGCAGCACTTGATAGATTTTTTATTCTCGGGGCTGGATGGTAATTGGTTGAATTGTAGCAAAATAGTCATGTCCGTCTAAGGAATTATTACCGGCGCAATGAAACATTTTATTATTTGAATGAATAAAAATGGTGGCATTTGTCTTGTTTCAGTTTTGTTAAATTAAACAATGTTGCCTTGTTTTAGTTGTTTGTTCATTTGAATCACTCTACACTTCATACACAAACACTTCATAGAGAATAGACTTTATATTTAAACAATGGGCCTTAAAATGAGTTTCTGCAGTTTGTCAGCCATTGCTGGGTCCAGGCCTGCAGCCATCTGGCTGTGGTTAAGAGAAATCGTGATGTAGAAGTGGAGGATGGAGACCAGGGAGGGCCGTGACTGATAGCTTGATGCCTCTCCAAAGCCACGCCCTGCTGACCACATCAAGGAGCTCTTGATTCAGTCCTCAGTACGCTTTAAATCCATTTTAAGGGTTCCAACCACAAAACAAGAGCATGAATGGTAGAACAAGTATTTGATGGACATTGACTGTCAGGGAAAACATGGTTGCCAGGTGACAGTGGCTAAACAAATGTTACCCAGCTAACCAAGATCTCACAGAATAAAATCCATGCCAACTAAAACCTGTGTCATTAAAGGAATTTGTGTGCTGCTTGTACTGTAGTTGTGTTACCTGGAAGAAGCTGATAACTTTTAAAATATGCTGCCTGTGGCCAGTGGAGGGAGAGAAAAAAGTCACATACCATCTTGTTCATATGTTCAGCCTTTCAAAGTGTGAAAACATAAATCTGTTGAAGCTGAGCAAAATAAATCATGAGGTGATGAATGTGTAACATCTCAGTTTTTACAGTTGATGGTATGGTAGGCTGTCCACAGCTGATTGTCAAAGACAGGAAAATGTACACAGGAATTAGTTTTATTTTTTATACATCACATTCATTTTGATCTATTTTGCCTCATGTACTGTAGGTCTGTGTCAACCCCATTGGTGAAGCCCATGCCCTTTAGCTCCAGTTAGCTGTTTTTAGCTCATATGCTAATTGCTCTCTTGTGGTGCATCAGATAGACGAGGATGCTGTGCACACGTTACAATAATACGCTGTACCTCTTTATTATGTCACTGGCTAGTCTGCACACAGTGGGACCCAGTATGACTGTAGTCTTACCCCACCGAGGTAGGGGAATTACCCAGACTCATCTGGAACTGCTCCCAAAAACTTCAATGTTTTATCTCATAGTTGTGGGTGTAGGGACGGGTTGGTGGTGGAGGGGCCTTTATTTTGGTCCTTTGTTTATATAAGGAGTGGCGAGAGGGTTGGGAGGGGAGGTAGTTCACACAGAGGTCTGGGAATGTTTAGAGATTATTCTTATAGAGCTGGTTAAGGATGATCATATCTAATGTACTCCAGATAAACTCTATCTAATATAAACTCTATAATACTGTTGTGTTTTTTTGCTTATTTATGTTCTTCAAACAGAACGTGACAAATAATAAATACACATTTTCAGTATTAGGCATACTACTGCAGTGAGCTCTACTTTTTAATGTTAACTCTGTTTAAATGCTGACCACAACTGTTGTGTTTTGTCACAGGGTCGACATGTCAAGACTGGACAGCTGGCTGCCATCAAAGTCATGGACGTCACAGAGGTACACAGGCCAAGATTTGTGGCACACAAACACACACACACACACACACACACACACACTGAATTTAGGTGTTAGTGGTCAGTGTGTTTTTCGTGTAGCGGTTTGTGACCCAATTCATGTAAAAAAATAACATTGTGCTAAACCTTGACTGAAAGACTGAAAGAAAGTAGAAAGATTTGCTTTTCAGAATTAATCTCAGACTCATTTAGATTTGACAAACAAATCTAATGTGTGCATATATTTATTCTCTTATTTTTATTCTTTTATTCTATTGTCAGAATGAGATTTAGTTGTAACTGACGCCAAAGAGACTACAAAAGGGTGGTGTAATTGATGTTAAAAAATGTGGGCTCAGCACTTGGATTGAGCTCAGCACTGATAAGAAATAAATACTTGCGTCACCAATGTAAAACCACCTTATTCACCGCACCCGTTCTCTCCTGAATCATCTCATCATGTTTGATTTCTTAGAACACATCCATGGCCTCTAGGTTGCTTTACGTCTGTAGACCAAGCCTTGGTTTTTGTCACACAGAATGACACACAGTTGGGCAATCAAACATAATACCGGTTATGCATGATAAGAGATTAGTGTGGTCTAGGACTGTGACTCATCATGATGTTGGCTAATGTACACAGTGACAGCAGGCATGTCTGGGCAAAGGATGCTGCCGCTGCTTTGTCACATGCTGCTGTCAGACTCTCACAATCACAGTTTCAGTCAGTGAAGTCGTCCTTTCTGTGTCTTGTTGACACTATAGAAAAAAAAAGTTTCTGTACAGTCAAACTTAATTGCCATAAATCTCTACGCTTTGTTCTTGAAAAAGCTCTTTTTTTTAAATATGTGAAAATGAATCCACTCATCTGTCACACAAGAGGGTTTAAGGTTCAATTCCTGTTACACCAGAGCCACACCTTTTACCTGAACAGGGTGTCAACATCGTCAGGGTATATCAAATGTGTCAGCTCACCACTGACACAGAGCATAAGTGTTACACCTACATTTCACCAGGGCTTCTATTGGTTAACATGTTTTCCCCTTAACTTTAGGCGTAAAATGTGCTAGATTTTTAAAAATAATAATTTAGCTACATTCGGTTGACTATTAACTCTGTGCACTAGCTTTTAACTAGTCTTTAGCAACAGTTACCTATTTCTGTGCCATTTTGTAATAAAATGGTATGTATTGTAACACACTTCAACTGCAGTATAGTATTTGATAGTTCTAGCATTGAGGTAAAGTGGAGCATGGCTGACAAATGTTTGTATTTTTTGGTAATCTAGATAGCAGACCAGCCTTGTTTTGAGGGCTAAAAACAGCAGCTGAATATGCATGACTTATAATTTGGCATGCATATGTATATATTGACACTTATCAATTACAAGCTAATTACAACTGACTTAACAAAATTAAATTGTCGCTTTTGCAATTGCTATTGTCATCTGTGGTATAGATAGATAGTGTAGAATTCTACAGTGTCTTTCTGGGTTCAGTTGCAAGCTCTGCAACATTCTGTGAGAAGTTGTTTGCATTTATTTACACCCAAAATGTATGAATGTATGATTGTAATGTATGATTCAGCTTTTTAAATCTGTTTCTCATCCATGATTTCATTTGCTTGGTACAGACTGGTACAGATTTGTTCCGTAGAAAAAGAAATCCCAAAGGTCCTGAAGCTTTAGTTCTCTTCTTGAACAACACATGAGCAAGCTGCACATACTATCATCCTGTCTGTGTTTAGTTGATCAGAGCTGCAGCATGTCTCTCTCTCTCTCTCTCTCCTTCTCCCTCTCTCTCTGTCTCAGACAGAGCCTGTGTCTCTTTCTTTCTCTCTCACCATGTGACTTGTGGCAGCGAGCCTTTTGCAGTTGGGAGTGTGATAATCCAACAGCTGCACAGCAAAGAAGGGATGGATGTGGGGGAGGTGGGGTTGGAATGGAAGGAGGAGGTGGTGGGGTGGCTGCACACTCAACAGAATGGCTGGCGTCAACACAAAGCTGTCCTGCAGCAGCAGCATGGTTGCCTGCATATACAGTCATTTTTATTGTAGGTAGATGCTGTACAACCTGAGCCGTCCACATTATGGACTCCGTTCATCTTCGTCCCCTGTGCTGTCAACAGCAGGGGTCATGGTGAAAAACCCCCATAGGGGTCGATGTCTGCATGTGTTCAATTATAGTGTCATCTTTGATTATTGTCAAGTTGCAACAGGACACAGTAGTGAGTCATCTCTATAGCGTGAGACTGGTCAGACATGTTTGTTTCATTTGCAAAAGAAGACGCTAAACACTTTATGAAATCCACATGTGGCTTGTTTAAAACGCTAAATCACAAAAATCCCTTTTTTTAGATGTCAGCAAATTTTAATGTTAACACATAAACTGTTTCAACACTGTACTTTACTGCAGCGGCAAATTACGAGAACATTTTTCTAGAAAAAGAGCCACATTTGAGGCCCTGAAAGGAGATTTGCCTTTGTCACATGCCACTGTGCGACAACTATCATGCACAAACCAAATGCTAAGCTGCTCATTTATTACAGGGCTAAATGAATGCAAGCTACATTATGTGAACATTTGAGGCCCTCGAAATGGCTTGTCATTTGTAACAACAGCCACTGGGGCCATACAAATGGCAAAATAACAGACAGAACTTCTCACCATTGCAAAACATCCAGGTTCATTCTCGGCCCCCACTTTGTCCTGGAGCGTGGTCTGTTTCAAACATACCATTATGTCACAGCCATTTCTCTCTTGCTGCTCGACTGTTGCCATGGTTACACGTAGCCATCCTCAGCTCTTACCCCTCTGGAAGAGATGGATGCAGCATTTTATTTAGGCATCAAAGAATAATATTAGTTTGCATGAAGGCAGCATAATTCATCACCTATAGAGAAATAAAGTTCTTTACTGGTTGTTGTTTTCCGTCTGCCGTCCACATCTTTAGAAGGATATGGACGAGAAACATTGAGAAGAAATACCTGTTAAACGCTTGATGTTAAAAGTATGTCAGAGGATTTTTCCATCAATGTAATTAGATGCAAAGTGTTTTGGCTGTTGTGCACATTAGCAGACCACCAAACTCACTTGTGCAACATTAATTCACAAACAAAGGAACCTCTGCCAGTAAGTACAACATCTCATGCTTTACAGTCTGAGACTTTGATATGAAAACCTGTCAACACTGAACTCAAGTCAAATCAAACCAAGCTTCATGTTTGGAATGACTATTAATAATCAACGAGTATTGATATAAATGTTAAAAAGAATAGATAATACAATACAATATAATATAATGGCTAATAGTATATGACTAGCAATGAATCATTTAGTTTTATGCTAAAGACTTTCTAGTTAAAAGACAAACTTTGTTTTTTTCCCCCTTTGTTGTGCTTTTGTCCAGGACGAGGAGGAGGAAATTAAACTGGAGATCAATATGCTGAAGAAATATTCCCACCACAGAAACATTGCCACCTACTATGGTGCTTTCATTAAGAAGAGCCCCCCAGGGCACGATGACCAGCTGTGGGTAAGTCCACAAAATCCATGCCTGAAATTAAAGCTGCAAACAGCAATGCTGCTCACATCATTACAATGTAGTCAGGGAGGAGGAGGGAATTCAGAAGCCTATGACATAAATATTTTAGCCCAATGAGCTGTAGATGAGACCAACACTTAAACTGCAGCCCAAATGAACGTTGACATGACATTTGTCAAAGCAGATAAACATGAACTGCAGTTTTTCTTTTTTTAACTGGCTGAACCAGAAGTGGCTACTATTTACATGACGAGGCTTAAGTGATCCACCTGCAACGAAAATGTTAAATATATATTTACTCATATACGATTCTGAACATACTTAACATATATATTCCCCAAAAAATCCAAATAACCTTCAAACTAGAAGCACTTTCTCATGTCGTACATATTAAACTGTACATCAGCTACATGACTTCTTCTGATCTGATCATTCCTGTGTGCAGCTGGTGATGGAGTTCTGTGGCGCAGGTTCAATCACAGACCTGGTGAAGAACACCAAGGGGAACCAGCTGAAGGAAGACTGGATCGCCTACATCTCCAGAGAAATCCTCAGAGTCAGCTCACATTCCTCTTTACTTTGTTGCTTGTTTTTTTTGTGTGTGTTTTTGACTTTTTTTCTTTCTTTCATATATGAGAAGAAGATATTTTGAAGATATTATTCCCCATGTTAGATCCATCCAACAAAATAATGAATCAGTGTTGTGTGGTGTGGTAATATCAAACCTCTGCTCTTCACTCATCGCCTTTTCACTCTTACCCAGGGTCTGGCCCACTTACATGCCCACCATGTCATCCACCGTGACATCAAGGGCCAAAATGTCTTGTTGACAGAGAATGCAGAAGTCAAATTAGGTGAGAGAAATGTAAACCCAGACACAAAGAAGTCACTTCTGTCCGCTTTTTCTTCAATGCATGACTTTTTTGGTCAGAGAAATAATGAGTTTTTTTAATCTTTTTTCTCCAGTGGATTTTGGTGTCAGTGCTCAGTTAGATCGAACAGTGGGCAGAAGAAACACATTTATTGGGACTCCTTATTGGATGGCCCCTGAAGTTATCGCTTGTGACGAGAACCCAGACGCTACGTATGATTACAGGGTGAGAGCCTATGGAGACAGTGCTAAGAACACGTCAAAGAAAAAAAACACAGGCAATACTAAAGAGAGAAAATGAATATGATACAAAGAGAAATTAACATTGAAGCAACTAAAAGCAGTATTAATATCCTGTAGTACTGAATGATCAACGATAAGTACCAGAGAAGCATGAATGATGTAAAATTAAGGCTAATCTAATTAGATTTGTAAAATTCAGAGCCAAAGGTTTGTCTGAACTGCCTCATTTTCTTATTGGTTAGAATTTTCATTAAATTGAAATAAAACAGAAAACACATAGAAATGATTAAAGCAACTTTCTTTTAAAAGTCGTATATGAAAATAGTCGACTATCAGTTGCCGGACCATTCCTTATTCTGGTTAATACACCTGCTCCTGTGGCTGATGTGTTAAAATGAGCTTCATCTTCTCTTGCAGAGTGACCTGTGGTCGTGTGGTATCACAGCTATTGAAATGGCTGAAGGAGCACCACGTGAGTACTGCTGTGTAACAAATACATTTTAGATTTTTGCTGAAGGTTGATTGAGTTCTGACCCATGTCTGTGTTTTCCTCTTCTTTTCTCAGCTCTCTGTGACATGCATCCAATGCGTGCCCTCTTCCTCATTCCAAGAAATCCTCCTCCTAGACTCAAATCTAAGAAATGGTGAGGATCTACTCAGGCAAATGTTCAGTTTCTTTTTTTTTCATTGCAACAGAATGACGTCATAATTTATCACACAGATCCTACTTGCACATTTTTGACTTTTATATGACCTTAAAGCAGGCAGCTAACAATGATTGAATTCTAAATCTGTTCCTGTGCTTTATGGATCTGAACATCTGTGGAACACCTGCTGCAGCAGATGTTGGCTGTTCTCACACTCAAGTCAGTCATGCATACATGCAAAATTAAAATATTAGAAGCAGTTCCGGTTTCTAGAAGTAAATCAAAGTTTGCATAAGAAAATATATTTTCACCTATTCATGTTAATGTGTTATTTTAGAAAAATCTGCTGAGATTCTTGGCAATAAACTCTGAACTCTGTTGAATGTTGTCTGTTTTCCACTAAAAAAAATTTAGCCTCCTACTTTCTTTCTGTCTCATATCTTTTTTTCTGTCTGTCTGAAAATCTTTTAAAAGGTCCAAAAAGTTTTTTAGTTTCATCGAGAGCTGCTTGGTGAAGAACTATACACAGCGTCCCCCTACAGAGCAGCTCCTGAAGCATCCCTTCATCCGTGACCAGCCTAATGAGAGGCAGGTCCGGATCCAGCTCAAGGACCACATTGACCGGACCAAAAAGAAGAGGGGAGAGAAAGGTGTGTTTCATTCTTTGTCCTTCCAGCTCTCGTTGCTTCTGGTTACTTGCCTCTGTTTATTTAAGCTGTGATTTATTGATGATAAAATGATTGATCTATAACCGATGTCCATAATTTCACAATCTACAGATGAGACAGAGTATGAGTACAGTGGCAGTGAGGAGGAGGAAGAAGATCCTCCAGAGCAGGAAGGAGAACCTAGGTAGGTTGATGTTGTTGCAGGACTTCATAAAAACTAGTCCAGTTGACCTAGACTTTGATGGAGTGACTTCAACCCCTCTGTCTTGTTTGCAGCTCCATAGTCAATGTTCCTGGTGAGTCAACTCTACGACGCGACTTCATTCGCCTTCAACAAGAAAACAAGGAGCGGTCAGAGGCATTGCGTCGCCAGCAGCTCCTCCAGGAGCAGCAGCTTCGGGAGCAGGAGGAGTACAAGCGCCAGCTCCTGGCTGAGAGGCAAAAACGTATTGAGCAGCAGAAGGAACAGAGGAGGCGGCTAGAAGAGGTAGGATCATTTTATCGGCTTGGACCTTAAACTGATGAGTGAGCCACAAAATTAGTTACTAATGAATTCTTAAAATTTTTAAATAGCAACAAAGACGTGAGCGTGAGATGAGGAGGCAACAGGAACGAGAGCAACGTCGACGTGAGCAAGAGGAGAAGAGAAGAATTGAAGAAATGGACCGAAGACGGAAAGAAGAAGAAGAACGACGGCGGGCTGAGGACGAGAAGAGGAGGAACGATCGTGAACAGGTCAGTGTTCACACATGTATCACACATATAGCTCCTGTATAAAAGCTCAGAACAAATGGACAGGTTTATCTCAGTCTCCACTGGTAGTTGACACACTGCTTTTTTCTTTCCAGTTTGTTATTTATTGGCAACTGGATTTCTTTTTAAATCAGTGGGTTTTAATTTGATTTGATTGACAGGAGTACATCAGGCGTCAGCTGGAAGAGGAGCAGAGACACCTGGAGATGCTGCAGGAGCAACTGCTCCGTGAACAGGCCATGCTGTTGGTCAGTTACACACACACACACACACGCACACATTGGACCACTAACACAGACACTGCTACTTTATTTTTAAGAAAAATAATCATTATTCTTGTAAGGTTTTTACAAAATGAAAAAGCCTTAATAGTATGTTTTACAAGTTAACTAGAGGCTGACTTGTGAATGAAAACACTGTCATCGCTGTGAGTACAATCACAGCACAGAACTCACAAACCCCACATAAAAAATGACCAGAACATCATGTCAAAGTGATTGTTGTTTGAAACTTAACAAATTCACCTTCAAGTAAGTACCAGGTAAAACACTTTGGCCCGATTATTGGAAGCCTGGGTGTGTCCCTTTTCTACGTTTTCAACGCTACCCACTCTCTTTTTACCCCACTGAACACACTTTGCCTAGGAGTTCAAGTGGCGGGAGCTGGAGGAGCAGCGCAAGGCCGAGCGACTCCATAAGCGCCTGCAGCAGGAGCAGGCGTACCTGCTGTCGCTCCAGCACGACTCCAAACAGCAGCCTGGTGACAAGACCAAAGTCCCCTCAGACCAAAGCAAACCTCCACAGACCTCCACCCTGCCCCCTGACAGAGCCCTTATGACATGCCCACAAGCTCAGGTCATTGACAGTGTTGTTTCTGTAGCTAAAGACACTGATGAATCCCCCAGAGCACTTCAGACAGCCCCCTCGGACGACGCTGACTCCCAGACAGCAGTGACAGAAAAGACTGAAACTGTTGAGACATGTCCAGACCAAGTCCAACACTCCCCAGGTCCCCTTCCCTCACAGACTGAAAATCCAAATGACTCTCATCCTCCCCAGGCTGAAAGTTTGCAGCCTGATAGGCCTGCCAATCCTGTCAGTCATCCTGCTCAGCCAATCAGAGAGGTGAACCACTTCCTCGGCTCCTATTTCACTGTTGCCTGCTCTTTCCGGATTCTTCTCGATTTTCTCTACAA